TAACCTAATCTAACCTAATCTAACCTAACCAAGGGCCTCCATCACCAGTCCAGTCACACACTAAACTGGCTGACGGTCGCTGCCTAGTTGCTGTGAAAAAAAAAAAAACGATTTATCTAAAACACATTGAAAGAAACGGAGAAGGCAAAATGGCGCCCCACCCTCAGTTCGTTGTTTCCAGGCAGAGTTTGTGGAGGTGTGTCCAGCAGCGTCTCACGGTAGGAGGGAGGAAGAGAGGGAGAGAAGAGGAGGGAGGGCGAGGTTTGGATGGAAAGATGAGAGGAGGGAGGGAGAAAGGGAAGAGGAGAGAGAGAGGGAGGAAGAGGAGGAGGGAGGGTAGTGAAAGGAAACTGCATGATTTTATGTGCCCTAACTCTTCCCCTCCCCTCCCAGACAATCACACCCTTAGACTCCTATTAATAATTGGCCGAGGTAATGAGATGCAAATGGATTAATAATAAAAGAGGGGGTAGAGGTGAGGGGAGGGTAAGGGTGGTCAGGGGTAGGGGTGGTCAGGGGTAAGGTTGAGTAGGGGAAGAGGTTGGTGAGGTAAGGGTGTGGTCAGAGTTAAGGGTAAAATTGGTGAGGTTGGGTGGTAAGTGGTAAGGTGGTGAGGTGAGGGTGGTAGAGGTGGTAAGAGTTGGTCAGGGTGGGGTGGTCAGGGGGTAGGATGGTAGGGGTAAAGAATTGTGGTCAGGGCTAAGGTTGGTAGGGAGTAAAGTGGTGAGAAGTGGGAATTGGGCTGAGGGAGTAGGGGGTAAGAATTGGTGAGGGTAAGAATTGAGTGAAATTAGTAGAGGTGGTCAGGGTAAGGGTGGTCAGGGAATTAGGGTGGTCAGGGGTGGGGTGAGTAAGTGGTAGAATTGGTCAGGGGAGTAGAGGTGGAGTCAGGAGTAGGGGTGGTCAGGAGATGAGATGGTAGGGGTAAGAATTGGTCAGGAAAGGGTGGGTCAGGGGTAAAAGATTGGTAAGGGAGTGGGGTGGTGAGGGAGTAGGGTGGTGAGGAGTAGAGAGTGAACGAGGGTAAGGATTGTGTGGTGGGGGTAGGGTGGTCAGGGGTAAGAGATTGTGGGGTAAGAATTGGTGAGGTAGTAAGGTGAGGGGTGGGGGTGAGATGGGTAAAGGGTGGTGAGGGTGGGGGTAGGGGTAGTGGGGAGTGGGGTGGTGAGGGGTTTAATGAGATTGAAGTTGCCTTTGAATATTTATGGTGGAGACAGACTTACATACGAGTGTTAATCCGCTGGTAATCTCTCAGGTTGATGAATATTTGATACTAATCATTCACATCTGGTATGTTGAATATTTGTACTGGTGGGCGAATTGTTCTGTGCTGGCTATAATAATAATAATACTAATAATAATAATAATAATAATAAATCAATAGTGTTAATAATATTGATAGTAATGAATGATGATAATAATATAAAATTGATAACAATAATAACGACAACAACAGAAGCACCAATAACAATAATAATAATACGACAACATCAATAACAACAAAAACAACAACAATAATAATAATAATAATAATAATAATAATAATAATAATAACAAACAACAATAACAATCACCCACCGTCCCTCCTCCGTGTTATAAGAAGAACAAAACAGGTAGTCGCCGAAGAAGTACTGCCTGCCTCTGGATGTTATTGGCCAGGCGGGGGGAGTCAGGCACCACCACCATCAGTATTACCAACACAGGCGTTGATCTTCCCACCCTGGCGTGTTAAATATGGTAATCCATCAATCATCTTCGCGCGAATTAATTGACATAAAATAGAGGATTATTCGGTAGTAATTGACAGAGTAAAAACTTAAAATTACCAGGAATTACTTTTTTTGGGTGTAAGAATGTCAGAATTTTCCTCGTAAATTACCACCACCACCAGCCGGACTAGTCAGTGAATGGTAACATGTCATAATCAGCTGGTCCTTCTCTTATTCTTCTTCCTCTCTTTCTTCTCTTCCTCCTTCTTCTTCTTCTCCTCCTCCTCCTCTTCTTCTTCTGTTCCTCCTCTTCCTCACCCACGCTTGTCATCGTCGTCAGCAGTGAGAGGGCAACACACGATGCTTGACTGACTGCCTCCTGTTGCTTGAGTGTGTTGTTTTGATTTTTGGCTCTTTGTTTGGTTAGGTTAGGTTAGGGTGTTTAAATCAACGGGTGAAATAAAACTAGGGTGTCTAATCTTCAACAACAAAAGCTATATACCCCCCCCCCCTCGCCTGCCCCCTTGGCTGTGATTGGTCAGTAAGAAGTGCGCTTTTCCTAACCTTTGCTGACCTGACATGACCTGTCCTGACCAATGACCATGTTGTTGTTTTCATCAAGTGCGTCTTACAGGCAGTGACCAATGGTTTGCCATAACGAAGGTCACACACACACACCTGAGCACGTAATAACAGAGGCTCCACTAAATTATATATTTTTCGGGTAATTTGTCTATCTAACATTTACAACATAATGTACCTGTAGTTTAGATTACTAACCTAGCCAAACTTAACCTGGTAGTAATTGACCAATCATATCCCAGGTAGTAATTGGCCAATCATATCCCAGGTGAATGATTAGCGAGTGCAGGTACTGGGTGCGGCTGTTTTTTTCTGAGGGTAATAAGAACATAAGAATGGAGGAAACTGCAGCGGGCCTATTGACCTATACTGGGCAGTCCCGTTTACACCCAACCCCTATAGCTCATATAAGCATCCAACCTGTGTTTGAAGCTGTCCAGCTATACACTCTACCTTAATTACCTAATGTTTACTTAGCACCAGGTACAAAAATATAATGTTAAGGTAGAGTATTATTTTTGTTTAACCCCTTTGAGGACGATGATTTAACCCTTTGAGGACGATGATTTAACCCTTTGACGACGATGATTTAACCCTTTGAGGACGATGATTTAACCCTTTGACGATGATGATTTAACCCTTTGAGGACGATGATTTAACCCTTTGAGGACGATGATTTAACCCTTTGACGACGATGATTTAACCCTTTGAGGACGATGATTTAACCCGATGATTTAACTCTTTGAGGACGATGATTTAACCCTTTAAGGACGATGATTTAACCCTTTGAGGACGATGATTTAACCCTTTGAGGACGATGATTTAACCCTTTGACGACGATGATTTAACTCTTTGAGGACGATGATTTAACCCTTTAAGGACGATGATTTAACCCTTTGAGGACGATGATTTAACCCTTTGAGGACGATGATTTAACCCTTCAGGACTCAAAGGGTTTATTGAATGTATCTTGTTATGTTTTGGTATTTGTGTGTTGTTTAGTTGTTGTGTTTTGTTCTCTCAGTTTAAGTTAACAGGTTTATGTGTGTTCTAATGTGTGCTGTTATGAGGAATGTTTATTATTATTGTTATTATTACTGTTATTTGTTGTTTTATTTGTTATTATTATTATTATTATTATTATTATTTGCTGTTGTAATTGTTGTTTTTGTGGTTGTCATTATTATTTCTTCTTCTTCTTCTTCCTATTATTATTATTATGTCTTTCAGGCAGAGTGTCAAGGCTTCACCAGCTGTCGGTTGTCATAGCAGGAATACAGAAGTAGTGAGGTAAGTGAAGTAAATGAAGTAGTGAAGTACTGTACTGAAGCCGTAAAGGTGAGAGGCAATGAGTGATACAGGTGCTGGGCTTGTGGTTACCTGTGTGTGTGTGTGTGTGTGTGTGCGTGTGTGTGTTAGTGTTATATTATTCGGATTACAAGCTTATTAACCATCCGAGCGTAATGGTTTAGGTTAGGTTAGGTTAGACTAGGCTAGGCTAGGCTAGGCTAGGTTAGGCTAGAGAAGCCACAAGGACACACACTACACAATTACCATGACTCACCTGACAACTACCGACCATCATCCCCGACCCCCGACTCCCACCAACTCCCGGGACCCCCGGACCCCCGAGCCTGAAACGGTGTCAGTTGACACACAGATGACACCCTCCCCTCTCTCTCCCCCCTCCCCCCTACCTGGTGAATCTCGCTACAACCTGTCAATTATGGACGCTCTAAACACACTAGTAGTTGCTGTGTGTGTGTGTGTGTGTTTAGTTGTGTGTGTGTGTGTTTAGATGTGTATGTATGTGTGTGTGTGTGTTTAGGTGTTATGTATGTATGTATGTCCATTATGTCCCAGATTGTGTGTATATACTATACAGCCGTCTTGTTGTGAATACACCCGTACGCATAATACAGTAGCGACGTAATGGTAGGATGAACAACGACATTATTAATAGAGAAAACAGGAACCAGATTTTGTTCACAGTATAATTGAGAGAGAGAGAGAGAGAGAGAGAGAGAGAGAATTAGTTCTTGGTAAACAATAAACAAATATATATTTGTTTCTCGTGTCTGTGTTGTGTATTACTGTCTTACAACGCTTTACAACCTTCCTGGAAATAAAATAACAACTTGTAACTAATGAAAGAAAATGGGATCTTAATGAACTCAGTAAACAACCCCAACACACACACACACAGTTTGTTTTACCTGATTATTTAACACCCTAACGCTACCACTAACACCACTCCGTAACACCACTCCCTCCAACACTAACACCACTCCCTCCACCACTAACACCTCCCTCCTACAAACACCACCACTCCCACCACCAAACACCACCACTCCCACCACCACTAACACCCTCCATAACACCACTCCTCTCCAACCCAAACACTCACTCCCACCACACCACCACCACTCCCACTCCGTAACACCACTCCCTCCACCACAAACACCACCACTCCCCACCACCACAACACACCACTCCCACCACCACTAACACCCCACCCTCCTCCACCACAAACACCACCACTCCCTACCACTAACACCACTCCCTCCACCACACACCCTCCTTACCACCACTAACACCACTCCCTCCACAAACACCACTCCCTCCACCACCCCCTCCACCACAACACCACTCTCCCACCACTAACACCCTCCACTCCACAAACACCACCACCACCACAACACCACCACTCCCACCACCACTAACACCTCCCCACCACCCCACCACCCCACCACCACCTCACCCTCCTCCACCACTAACACCTGCTCCCTCCTACTAACACCACTCCCTCCACCACAACCCACCACCCCCACCACCACTAACACCCTCCCCTCCCTCCACCACTACTAACTCACCTCACCACCCCACCACCACCCCTAACCACCTCCTCCACCACCACTAACACCACCACTCCCACCACCACCCCACCACTCCCTCCCACCACCTAACACCACCACTCCCACCACCACTAACACCCTCCCTCCACCACAAACATCCCACCACCTCCACCACCACACTAACACCCTCCCTCCACCACCCTAACACCACCACCACCACCACTCCACCTTAGTCAACTACCGCTCTTGTTAACTCACCTTACTCCCCTAACAATGTTCTTATTGCGGCCACTGAACATGGAAGGTAGAAATAAACGTGTATAAGTATTGTGTTACAGAGACCCCGTGTGTGTGTGTGTGTGTGTGTGCGCGTGCGTGCATGCGTGCGTGTGTGTGTGCGTGCGTGCGTGTCCGTGTGTGTGTGTGTGTGTGTGTGTGTGTGTGTGTGTGTGTGCGCTGTTATTTTGCCATTACTAGATGTGTTGTATCATTTTAATTTCTACCCTAAGGTATAAATTAACAGTTGGGTAATTAATTTTACGCAAAAAATAATGAAATAAAATATTATGGTTAAATGAGCGTAAGAACTAAACAGCGCATATAATAATAAAATCTATTACTACTACTAAAACTACTACTACTACTACTACTACTACTACTACTACTACTACTACTAATAATAATAATAATAATAATAATGATAATAATAATAATAATAATAATAATAATAATAATAATAATAATAATAATAATAATAATAATAATAAATTTCACCATTTTTGTTTTAATAAAATAAAAAAATCGAGAAAAAAATATTCACTTGGCAGAGATAAGTAGATGACGTCATGGATGGCTGTACCGGAAACACCTACGTCATAAATAGTTCCAACATGGCCGCCTCTCTCTCTCTCTCTCCGCTAATTAAACTATACTCTTCTCCAGATATATATTTGGCAGTCACTTAACTTCAAGCTTTGGCAAATCTTAGTTAGAATCATGTTAAGGTTAAGTTAAATGCAGTTAGATAAGTGTTTTAACGGTCCCCTAATGTAAATAAGTGGCTTGTGTTGTTTTCGTTTAGGTCAAGGTCAAGGTCAGGTCAGGTCAGGGATAGAATGATGTGGCGAAATGTATGACCGTCATAATGTTGGTTAGGTTAGGTTATAATAGGTTAGAAGTGGTTTTGTTTGAATAGCCCAAGAGAAGGTTAGGTTAGGTTAGGTTAGGATAGGTTGTTAGTTTTGGATAAGTTAGATTAGGATAGGTTAGGTTAGGGTAGGTTGGGTTAGATTGGGACAGTGGAAGTCAGGTTGGGTTAGGTTAAGATATGATAGGAATGGTCATGTTAGGTTAGGACAGGTGAAGTTGGGTTAGGTTAGGATAGGAATGGTTAGACTATGATATGAATGGTCATGTTAGGATAGGTTAGGTTAGGATATATCACGTTAGGTTAGGTTACATCGCGTTAGGTTAGGTTAGGATAAGATATATCACGTTAGAACCTAAAGTTAACCATGCGCGCCACACATTTATCCAAATGCTTTTATTAAGGACAATTAATAACGTCGTGATCTCTTTTGTGTAGTGAGTGTCTGTCTGGCTGGCTGGCGAGTGTGTCCTTCTGTCCTGCTGGCTGGCGAGTGTGTCTTTCTGTCCTGCTGGCTGGCGAGAGTGTCTTTCTGTCCTGCTGGCTGGCGAGTGTGTGTCTGTCCTGCTGGCTGGCGTGTGTCTTTCTGTCCTGCTGGCTGGCAGTGTCTTTCTGTCCTGCTGGCTGGCTGAGAGTGTCTTTCTGTCCTGCTGGCTGGCAGAGTGTGTCTCTGTCCTGCTGGCTGGCAGAGTGTCTTTCTGTCTGCTGGCTGGAGTGTGTCTTTCTGTCCTGCTGGCTGGCAGAGAGTGTCTTTCTGTCCTGCTGGCTGGCGAGAGTGTCTTTCTGTCACTGCTGCTGGCTGGCAGTGTGTCTTTCTGTCCTGCTGGCTGGCGAGTGTCTTTCTGTCCTGCTGGCTGGCAGAGTGGTCTTTCTGTCCTGCTGGCTGGCAGAGTGTCTTTCTGTGTCCTGCTTGGCTGTCTGTCCTGCTGGCTGGCAGAGTGTCTTTCTGCTCTGCTGCTGGCAGTGTCTTTCTGTCCTGCTGGCTGAGTGTCTTTCTGTCCTGCTGGCTGGCGAGAGTGTGTCTTTCTGTCCTGCTGGCTGGCGAGTGTCTTCTGTCCTGCTGTCTGGCTGGCTGGCGAGTGTGTCCTTCTGTCCTGCTGGCTGGCGAGTGTGTCTTTCTGTCCTGCTGGCTGGCGAGAGTGTCTTTCTGTCCTGCTGGCTGGTGAGTAAAAGTGTCTGTCTGTCTGTCTGTCTGGGGAGATGTCATCACTCCAGACAAACAGTGACCGCTGAGTGTGTCACACATAAGAACATAAGAATGGAGCAAACTGCAGCGGGCCTATTGTCCCATACTGGGCAGTCCCGTTTAGAACATAAGAAAATAAAAGAGTCTGCAATAGGCCGGTTGGCCTGTGCATGGCAGCTCCTGTCTAGAGTTACTACCACTCTCTATAATCCATGAATCTATCAAGCCTCCTTTTAAAACTTTCCAGAGTTCCAGCACTTACTACAAAGTTGCTAAGCTTGTTCCACTCGTCCACCACCCTATTTGTGAACCAGTTCCTTCCTATCTGCCTCCTAAACCTAAACTTATCCAACTTAAATCCGTTGCTCCGAGTCCTATCCTGCTCGGATATTATAAGAACTTTATCTATATCTCCTTTCTTGATTCCTTTCACACACTTAAATACTTCTATCATATCCCCCCGCACTCTTCGTCTTTCTAGGGAATGCAAGTTTAGTTTCTTTAACCTACTCTAGTGAATTGATATCCATTCTATAATAAAGGCATCAGAACTGAACCGCATAATCGAGGTGCGGCCTGACTAGCGCAAGATATAGTTGCAATAAGACCTCTGCATTCTTATTACTTACACGTCTAGATATAAAACCTAATACTCTGTTTGCCTTATTTCGATCATTAACGCACTGTTTTCTAGGCCGTAGGTCCTGGCTTACAAGTACCCCTAAGTCTCTTTCACCATTCGACTTCTCTAGGTTGATGTTGTTAAGGCTGTATACATTGCCAGTATTTGTTCTTTCAATATTAAGTATGCTGCACTTGCTGGTGTTGAATCTGCCAACCGAAAGTTTGGGACTCTGACCATATTGTCATTGTTTTTCGTTTCCCAATTTAGGGTGAACCTGATTTCTCTGTGATCACTGTTACCTAGTTCTTCCCCTACTGTGATATCTCTGATAATATTTTCTTTATTTGTTAATACTAGGTCTAATATATTGTCACCTCTAGTAGGTTCTGTAATTAGTTGTTTCAAAAATTTTTCCTGTACTGCGTCTAGGAAGTCTTCAGATTCATAGTCACCTACAATGTTGTCCCAGTCAATATTTCTGAAGTTCAAATCCCCCATAATGCATAGGTTGTTATATTTTGCTGCCCTACTCATTTCCTGCCATATGGGCTGAGCTGCTTCTTTCCCAAGACTTGGGGGCATGTAAATCACTCCCATAATTAGTTTTTCTCTTCCTTCCGTGATTTCTACCCATACAGACTCGGTTCCTATTTCACCCTTTATTGAATTATTAATACAACATTTTAATGTATCCTTGACGAAGAGTGCGACCCCTCCCTTTCCTCTCTACTGCGACCCCCCCTTTGGAGTGACAATTTCACGCTCCAGGGATGCAGACAACGTCTTTACCCCAGCACGAGACAAGTGTACTCCGTCACGACTGTACAGGTAGTCATTGCCATAGAATGGTTGCCAGCTATCAATGAATGCCCAACCATTGCTTGTACATGTTTTTCCAGTCGGCAATTTATGGCAATTGCCCTGGACAGCCATTCACGACCAACCCCTCTTCTAGGCAAGACACCACTTACTATCGGGATCCCTCCCCTATTTCTAACCCTCCCTAGCGCCTCCCTATACCTCTTGAAAAGTTCCTCACTCCTAACCTTTCCTCTGTCGTTTCCTCCCACACTAAGACACACTACTGGATTGGTACCCTCCCCTGACAAAACCCTATCTGTCCTCTCACCTACATGCCCTATCCCAGCCCCAAGAAAACACACCCTAGTCCTACGTTTCCTATCTCTTGCGCAAAAGGTCCTATCTAAAAACCTCACCTAGCTGTCCCCAACTACCACGACTTTACCACTGGGCAGGGTTTGAACAACTGCCCTTTCCTCTCCTTGCTCCATACCTTCCTGCCTCTTCTCTTCCTCGCCTGCTTCCTCCAACACTTGGTAGGGGTTACTGCACTCCACACCCTGGTCAGCTTTCCTGAGCCTGACCCTAGTCCCCTTGGAGACAACCACTCTCCACGCCTGCTCCTCCTTCGAAGCCCTCAGGACTGAAGGAGTTCAGTCCTGAGGGCTTCGTTCTCCCCCTTTAGAGCGTCTATCTCTCTCCTCAACTGCTCCAGCTGACTTAACAGAGTGGCCAAGTCGTCTCTCCTCACACTCCGTCCCTCTTCCCCCACAACACAACGATCCACGGCGGCCATTTCCTCTGGTCACTAACACGAGCACTCGGTCAGGTAGCGTATATTAGCTAGGTCAGGTAGCGTTTACACCCAACCAATATCGCTTATATATCCACCCAAACTAAGTTTGAAGCTTAGGTAACTTGAGACACACCCATAAGAGGCAAAAATAACCGCCTGAGTGTATGTATGAGTGTGTCTGAATGGTGAGTCTGTGTGTGGGGGGTGAATGAGTGAGTGAGTCTGTGTGGGTGAGTGTGTCTGAACGAGTGAGACTGTGTGTGTGTGTATATATGTGTGTGTGTGTGTATATGTGTGTGTGTGTGCGTGTGTATATATGTGTGTGCGTGAGTGTGACAGAATAGGTGTGTGTGTGTGTGTGTGTTGACGACCCTTTGATATGGATCCCAAAGTTTTCTATACCTTATGAATGAATGGAAATGAAATGACACCCCCGCTCTCTAGGTAGGTATAAAGTCAACCCTACCTTACCTTACCTTACCTTACCTTACCTTACCTTACCTTACCTTACCTCACCTCACCTTACCTCACCTCACCTTACCTTACCTCACCTCACCTCACCTGTAGTGGGAGGGTTTGGGAAGGTAACTGCCTCCCTTCCTCTGCCCTTATTGTATGTATTTTACGCCATTACTTATTGAGATCATTAATACCTGACCGAAGTGATAAGGTTTTTTTTTTCTATTTTATATGTATTCTTATTTTTATTTATTTTTATTACATTTTGTATATGATGATGTTAGTTGGTATAATTATGGGGGGCGTTAAAGAGACAGGGTGGTTAGGTTAGGATAGAGTTTAGTTGGGATAGAGTTTGGTTAGGATAGTGTTTAGTTTAGTTGGCGTTTGGTTAGGTAAGGTTGGGATAGGTTTAGTTTAGTTAGCGTTTGGTTGGTTAGGATAGTGTTTAGTTTAGTTAGCGTTTGCTTAGGTTGGGATAGAGCTTGGTTAGGATAGTGTTTAGTTTAGTTCGCGTTTGGTTAGGTTAGGTTAGGATAAAGTTTGGTTAGGAGAGTTAGTTTGGTTAGGTTAGGTTAGCGTATATACTAACATTAGGTAGCATTTGACATCTCCACTTAAAAAAAATCCTCTTTAAATAACCCAGTGTCGATAATGCTACCTGCACACGTCACTTAATTACAGGTAGGTGATGAGATACTCTGGGAAATTAATAAAATCTGTCGAAACTGTTTATTTTAATTTTATTTTTTATTTTTTTAATGTCACTCAATCTATTACGATATTCTTGTTATGTTATTGAAGGCTTTTGGTGATGAAGGAATAAATACGTTTAATTACTGATGTCTGAGTCACTAGTAGCAGCTTATGATGACAGGGTGGGAATTGGTTTTCATTTTAGCTTTCAGTGATGAGGGGGTGGTGCAGGGGGGTGAGGAGGGGGTGTGGGGTGAGGAGGGGGGTGTTGGGTGGGGGGTGTGGGGTGGGGGGTTGGTATGGTAATGTGGGTGTGTGTGTTTTTATATTTGTGTTTGTTTGTTGGTTGATGTTTTTAAGTATGTGTTTGTTGGTATCTGTTTGTATAGAAAAATAAAGACTTACAAAAATATAATAAATAAGAAACCAAACAACACAAAACTGACCATTTCTTAAAAAAAAAGGTAAATAAAATACCTCAGTTACTCCCTTTTATTACGTCACCTTTTGTTTCCATATCCCGACACAACTATTGAATCTCCCTTCAGTAAACAGCAAAACACTTCAACTCTCATTGTATATAATATTTAGGAATAATGTAAATAATGTTTGTGAAGTGTATAATGTATAATGGCAGTCTCCTTCATTATTAATATGAGTAGAAAATATTGTGCATGCGAGTTGGTGTAATGTACGTTTTCTGTTGTGTAGTTTAAATAGGTAAGTTACCCCTAGCGTAGGTTAGTGGGAGGTGGGTCGTAGAAAATGGATGGATGCTGTTGTTGTGTGTATCTGTCTGTCTTTCGTGTCTCTATTTTTCTCTTTCGTTCATTCTCTTCTCTTTTCTCTCTCTCTCTCTAAGAAACTTATACTATTAATTTCTCACGCATTCCAATAGGTAATTAACTGTGACCTATTAGTGAAATAAATTGGAAACAAGCTTGGGGTGTATAATCTTCAGGTGAAATAAATTGGTGTCACTTCAACCCACACACACACACACACACGTTTTGATCTTGTTTTTGAACTGAAGTGTGTGTGTGTGTGTGTGTGTGTGTGTGTGTGTGTGTGTGTGTGTGTTTCCCCCATCATTAACCTTTGATTGTAGTTTAGTTCACCGCTAAAGGGGAATGCGGAGACCTTAGCTGACAGACATATTGACGTACGTGATGAATAGTAGGGTGTGGCTATAGTGTGGTTGGTGGTATAATGTGGTTGGCGGTATAGTGTGGTTGCGGCTATAGTGTGGTTGCGGCTATAGTGTGGTTGGTGGTATAATGTGGTTGGCGGTATAGTGTGGTTGTGGATTTTACCTTCAAAACACGGAAGTTCTTAAGGAGTGTCAAAGTGATGATATAAGCAGTCATTCGCGATTTAATTTCACACGATTGACCTTTATTGTGTGTGTGTGTGTCAAGAATGATCTCTCTCTCTCTCTCTCTCTCTCTCTCTCTCTCTCTCTCTCTCTCTCTCTCTCTCTCTCTCTCTCTCTCTTTTACGTACATGCATACTTACATACATACAAAAACTTGCATACATACATAAACTTACACAATAATATAAACATACATACAATGAATATTTATATTTGCACACACACACACACACACACACACACACACAGAAGGCAGTGACCGCCCTAGT